ATATAATCGCCATGTAATTATTTGCAGAATAAAGCCAATGTTTTATTTGGCGGGTTTATGACGCGAAGCGGAATCTTATTCTGTTCAATACGAAACGCCACCGTTTGGCGCTACCTACAATTACGCACGGTGCCCGCGACTCGTTTCATGCCAATCGCATCATTGATTTCATGCCACTTAATCGGGAACAATAGTTGTCCGGTATTATATTGCGTATAGTCGCCTGAAGTCGCGACTGAAGAACTCCCATCAAATCCCAGTGCCTCTTCGCCAAAATACAGCAATGGTAGAGAGATGTGTGCAAGCTGCAGCAAAGGTGAAGTATTTCGACCTTCGCCAAATTGTGTAACTGCGTCACCCCGTGTAAGGTAGTCCCACAGTTTTCCAGAGTCTAGAGCCGCGGCGGCATTGCTCATATTTCACGCTCGTTTGTCATGATTCAAGCGCAAAGTCGGCGTGCGTACCGAGCGCGCAATCCGTTTGATGTATAGGCAATGTTTTGGTATGAAATTAATTCGATACTTATATGCGCGCGTCGCGCGCGGCGGCGTGCAAACAATTTCGCTTCTTTTACTTTGCAGAGACCTTCAACAGCACCAGCCACTCTAGGAATCATCTGCGCATAAATGTCACACTTGTTGCGCATGTCTCGCAACTCTCATGTGCAATTTCAAAAAAATACACACCACAAGTTTAACGTGAGGAATAAAACGCGACCTGATTATTGCCGATAATAAAACGACAGCAGTCGTAAATCATTTCAATCGGTTTTGATTGCTTAGTAACAATCAACAATAAGCGGAAGACAATTAATCCAAGTCCTTGGCTATTGTTCGTAATAAAATTAATTTTCGCATGTTTTCACAAAGTTGTCATTGCCGAATAAGTCCGGTGTGAATTCTGAATCGCATCTAGTTAACGACGTTTGTTGTTCTTCCGAATATTCGTACCTACACCGAAATGCCGACCGAAGTCTATCAATCAAATCGGCGTCGTATTTTTTTATTCTTCGGCCGTGTTCGCTTATAGTGAGTAAGCGACGTGTAACGACGGCTAACTAGCTACATGATATGATACATGAGTTCGCGCGACGCACGCAAAGCCCACAAGAAAGACCTTTGGTTCCGAGTCCGAACGCGAACGCAAGGAGCACAAAAACAGGCAGCAAACAAGAAAGAAACGCGAGGTATAAACGTCGAAAGTGCGCCATGAAGAATGATAATTTAACTATATCGCTCCAATCAGTAGCCGGGCGCGTAACTACAAATGATTTCATGCAAGTCAGCATGAATGTTGAACTCTGATGTTGGTTGCGCGCACACACGCGACCACATTCACGAAGAAGTCAAGCACCCGAGAAGCAGAAACCAGAAATATGAGGAAAATAGCATTTTGTGCGATAGGCTGCCGTAATCTGTACCAGCCTTTTTCTGGTAGGCTCGAAATTGGCGATGAAGACGTAACTTGTTTCGCTGTCGAGACTCCACCTATCATATCTTATAATTTATTTAATAACGACCGGTCCGCCAGCCGCGCACCATTTTATTATAATCACGTGTCATGTACTCCGCATGGCCGTTGTCTTCTTTTGCTCTCTGGGTGCCTCAATTATGTAAATCGTAAATTGTAAAGAGGTAACCGCCGGATGACGTTTTCATGAATTACGATCGAAATTATTGTTTTATGTATGGCGAGTGCGTATAGCGAAAGGGGATAATATGCATTTTGCATATTCGCCATGCAGCTTCGGGTGAAAAGAGGTAACGTCTTAATTAGCGAGTTGTCAGCTAGGGAATTGCGTTCACGCCCATCGACCATTAATTCGTGGCCTGCTCTCGCATGCACACGAACGCGTATATATAATTATATAAAATAATAATATCGAAGTCGATGCGAGCACACGATAATCGGACTTTAACCGGCCCAAGATTGGCTGCTCTGCGGACGTAATAAAACCAACGCAACGCAACACATGAAAAAAAGCGTATGAAGCAATATCGTGATTATCAATGTTCAACGAGGTGATTCTCCGATACGAAATTATAACTTTGCGGCTGCCATCATCCATGGGTGCTAGACAGCTATGGTTCGTTGGAGCGGTAATCATCCGGCGGATATAAGCCTTCCAAAAAATACCAAGCAAACCTATCAAAATTCATTAATACACGGATTTACCGTTTTAAACCACTGCGGGTTTGTAATTACCAGTGATTTGGCGAAACGCGTGCATTCCGAGTCCTCCCCTTTTTACTGCCGGTCTTTCTGTTTCCGGAAGGAACGCAAGACGTCGCTTCCCGATGTCGGGCACGCTGGTGCCCCCGGATCGCAACAGGTGTATATATTTTCCGCTAAGTAGAGAAAGGAACGGCGCGAAGCCCGTCCGCGCACACAATCGAATATAAACCCCGGGTTGGGTAATAATGCGGGCAGGAGCAATTGCTTGTGACCCTCCGGGCCATAAATATCCCGGCGGCGCAGTCGAGTCGAGGAGTTCGCGCGGGAAGTGCCACTATATAGACGTTGGAGGCGATATTCGGGATTTGTTCTTCTTTTACATCTTCTTCGAGCATGCGGTGTACGCTTCAACTTCTAGTGATATAGATATTATAAACTGAAACATGCTGTGACACTGCATCCAATATAGACTTGTGAGACCTTTGCCACGGTCAACATGTGTTGCATGAGCAAGTCAACCATCAGAGAACTAAATCTTCTAACCGAGAACAAAGAGATCTTCAATTTCTTTAATATGCAAATGTTTCTACTCTGAGCTTTCTCCACAAAATGTGTAACTGTCTTCCGGTCTATAAAAGAAAGACTTGCTCCATGCCTACTGAAATTGGAGCAATATGTGCTACCGACCACCGAAAAACGAGCAATAAGAGTAATAAATCTTTCCCGGCTTGCATTCTTACATAAATCTTGTCCGATTTTTTTGCTCCTCGTGTGTATTGCGTTTATGCTCTTGACCCCCAAAAGACGCAGGCACTTCAAACGCATGCGGCATTAGCCGGTGTTTGGGTATTGAATAATTTAAGCCAGAGGAGGGTTCGGAGGGAAGCAGCGCGAACGGAACACGAACACGCCGAAGCATTAGGGAACATCCTACTGTCATTGAATTAACGCGCTGTGAAGCCGGCCAAGAGCAGTGTCTATTGCGTTTAATTGTCTATTTGGTTCTTATGCTAATTAATCGCCCATTAGATGCTAATAAATCCACACGTGTGCACCGCTCGTTTACATTGCACCTCATTGCTAGCTACTTCTAGGTGGGTAACACCTCGTTATTTATTGCCACACCATTGCAAGCGCACTTAAGTGCTGCGAATTAAGTTTCTTCTTTTGTAAACGCCATTAATTCACTGTAAATTTGCAGAAATCTGCATCAAAACCGCTGAAATTTAATTTTTGCTAATTTTACTTTAATGAAGTACAAAAATTGTTCATACTCATAAATAAGCAATGTTTGACTTTCCGTTTGAATAAACACACATACATTAACTTCAAAATAAGTAAAACCTCTTTTTAGCACGTTCATAAATCAATAACTAATGCAAATTATATTCTAATTATTCATTACGGCATAGTAAATACACCGCAATGAAACTTGCAGAATGTAAGTCACTCAAACGTCGATCTGCTACGGGTTTGCATAAAACTGCACGAGCATAATAATATACACAACATGTAACCACTAATAATAACGTCAAGCCTATACTTCATGATTTATGAACTTGGTGATAAAAGTGTACAAAAAATACAAATTGCTAAATGGCTTCAATGACACTTTAATGAACTAAAAATGTTTTAAATTATCATTATCACTACAAATTCTTCACACGATAATGCTCGGGCAATTTTGTGATAAAATTGTAACAATTTGACAGCAGACGAACGGTGAGAAAGTGAATTTACTTGTTGAACTTTACCGCGCACGCAATATATTAATATCTCGAAACGTTTAAGAATGATACATTTTTTATTGCCGAGAATTTTATTATGTGGTGTGTTATTGTATGTTTACTTGTGTTATTGTGGTCGTTCCTCCTCGCTGCCTCCTCATTGTCAATTATGGCTGGTATATCTGCACTCGTATCGTGCGTGTACTTTACGACGTGCAGATTTAACCATAAAATTTGCACCCCATATATTTTCATTTAATTATGAAGCGAGTATAAAGCCCCGCAAGATTTATAGCTCTCGGGGTACTTCAAAAAACACAGCGGAACATCTTCGACGTATGTTGCCTACAGAAGTATATCTGCTATGAGTACAACTATGGGAGGATAACATGAAAACACTTCATTGATTCGTTCCCCGCTTGAGCGGCTATTCGCAACTGAATCAAAGTCAAGAGAATCTGAAGTTGAATTGGGTCGTGCAACACGTTGCAATTCGAGCAAAAGTTTTCCTTCGGTCGTGACGCGTTTTTCCAAGCTGAGGATATTTCATGAGATACTTTTGCAGTTACTTTGAGGTACTAGTTGATAATGTTTGCAACAACTGTTCCAAGTAGAGGAGAGTAGAAATAGCCGTTGACTGCTTCACGGATTGCTGCATGAAGCTTTTGAGTCTGTTATTATTGTTATTATCTCGTTCGCGAGCGCCTCGAGTACTTGACTTGAGTCTATAATAATTGCTATGAAGTTGGACCGTGTTGAACTGCGCTCGTTGGCTGCTTTTTACATTCTTCGTTTTTGAGTTCCAACGCACAACCAAACGTATGAATGAAGCACATTCACGCACGGCGACGTTAAGAACTAATTGCTTTTTTGTTTTTGTCTCTGTGATCTTGTCCGGCGTTTTAAACTACTCGCAAGACCTTTAGGGGACCTTTAATTTTCTTTGATATTCCGGACTGATTTATGGCAATCCCGCTTGTTGAGGTCTTCATTATCTACACAATCTGAGCTTTCAACTTGACTCGACATCGGAAGACACACGCGTGTAAAATGGGGATTCTACTAGATGCAACAGTATGATGAAGAAACAGTACTTACTTTGTCCTAAATGAACGCGTTTCATCCACGGATAAATCTGTGGAGGGTTTGAGGAGCTGCCACCTTTGGAATTGTTGTTGTTGCCAGATTTCTCGTTGCTGGATGTTGAGCTGGTGCTGGACGCCGGCGACGATAGGTTTTGTGAGGCTGTCGACGAGGCGGCCTGTTTGCCCTGCGGTGAGGTGCTCACCGAGAGCGGCGAGGTCAACCCGACGCTCTTCGTTATCGTCACGCTGGGATTCTGTCCGCCTTGATTACTCAGCGGTGGCGTGGCCCGATTGCCGGGTGGGCCACCACTGGACGTGCTCAAGTCCTGTGGGGAGGACACTCCACCAGCACCCGCCGACGTCGAATCAGCATATTTGCAGCTGGCCGCAGGATTCAAGCCCATGCCGGGACTTTGAGCGCCTGGGCTGGCGTGATGCAAATGTGGCTGTTGGCCCAATCGCTGCGGCTGCAATTGCGTATAGTCGCCCATTGTGGGTTGAAGACCATGGCCAGTGGCGGGTGTTGCATAGGGATGCTGTGGATACTGCGGGGCCACCTGCGGCGGTGAGTAACACGCTGGCGGGTAATTGGCCGCCGCCGCCGCTGCCGCCGCATTTGGATTGTAATAATCACCGCCGGCCGATGTGCTTTGATGTCCCTGGTCGGTGCCCGTCGATCGTCCTTGTTGTCCGTAGCACTGGGCCAATGAGTTTACGAACTGATAGGAACTCATTATGTTGTTCAACATTAATGATACACTGTTAGTCTACGAATTATTCCGCGAAAAGTAATGCGAAACGCAGACGTTAAATCATTTCCGGATGATTTACCTATACGGTCACCAATTGTTCACACCAAAATAAAACTACGCCGGAATGAAAACACTGAACCCGCGAAATTCTGACTTTGAACGATGGCAGAATTTCTCGAAACGCAGAGTTGTCGATGATCAGGTGCACACTTGGAATGATGACATCGTCACGATACGAAGTTTCTTCTGTCGCGACTTGTCAGAAATTTGTCGAAATTGGAATCGTATAAGAGCAGATAGCAAACGCGACCGATCACTCTCCTCGAAGCGTCTCGATACGACTGCTACACGTGGAGGTCTATATGATAGTGATACGAGTGTGTTACGAAAATCCGCGTCGGGACGATTGCGTAGCGGCGCCACGACTGCCCAATACCACACGTTGATTGGGTTTAGTAAGCCGTGCGGATGCGATTCCAACTCGCACGACGTCAACGAAGACTTTCCACGAGCGGGGCCCCGAGATAACACAACTTGCATGCCGACAGAATAAGCGTGCAAGCGAGACGCAACAACTTGGTGGGGACCCGCGTGTTGAGAGCGGGCGCAAGCGCGAGGTGGAGTTACGAACAGCTCGAAAGGCGGGTTCATCGCTTGCACACACCGTCGTGCCCGACTCGTCCGTCCATACCCGCGTGTCGTCGCAATGTGCATGCAAATTTGGAGAACAACACCAAATTTCCTCAGCAATCAGCTGATTGCACTCCAGCACTTGCATGCCTTCTTTGATGACTACTCGAGATACACACGCGTGGCTTTTAATTGCCGCCGTGTGCAACTTGGTGGTTCGGATCATAAACCAGAGGTCGTAAATTCAACCACGGGTACATTATTATGACAGAACGTAGACCTATTAGGAGACCCATGAAAGGAGACGCTCCGCAGAAGTTCTTTCTATATAGCCGGAGCGGGTGATTTATTGCGTTCGCAACCAGCCCCAATGTTTAACTCACCTTCTTGTTACACATCTTGTATCTATGCCCATGGACACTATTATCACCTCATAAGGACCTCATTATTAACATTATCTCAAAAGCCCAATTACTCATTGGAATATTTTACTCAGAATCTTCTTGGAATCTGCACAACAAGTTGTTTCAGGTTCAATGTTTCGCTATGTTTAGATCAGAATAAGTCCACAATGTTGAGTGCAGTGTAGTTACGGATCCTGGAGATCGGAACTTGGTCCACGCAATCATTAGTCATTCAACCCCTCAGCAGTGTAGTAACAACAGTAACGCAACACAGTTCACAACACGCACGCACTTTTAGAGGACACCACGCAATACCAACCATAAAATTAAAAAGAAGGTATTTGCATATTTGCATCACGCAGAGTAGAAAATAGAAAACCTTGAATTTTTGAATCTTAAACGTCTTTGAAGACTTTTAAGGTACTAATGCCAATAATATCTTTAGATAACAAAACCGTTTGTGATGAGAAATAGGTCCGTAATAAAATAGTTGATAGTAAAAGAGTTTTGACTAATTTGAGTTTGCAACTTCTATTGTTGGTGGTACGAGTTAGCCGAGTTTACGAAGGACGTAAAAAGGCCGCCGGCGTAAGTAAGTGCGTACAAGGTTCTCGGGTCCTTGACTAATAGGGTTATTTTGCATACCAACACCAGTTCTATTAGCGCCCGCTCTGTTAGGCGATACTGTTACACATTGCGCGCATTACACGCTGTTACGGTTTCGACCTGCGCGTGCATTCAAACCGAGGCGTAAATTTGAATAAGAATAGTTTCACCTCGACGCAGCTACCAAGTTTCCATCTCAAAACGCGATCGTCCAGTGGAAACTGGAAGTGCAGTGAAAAATAGGGTTGTGATGGCTGTGAATGGCCGAGATGTTGTCGTCATTAAGATTAACCCATTCACAATTTGCAATGGTCATAAAATTAGCAGGTAAATATCCGAATAGATTCAAAGAATACAACTTTGTGCTCGATTTGCATTCGGATCAGTTTTAATGAAGTTTCAATCTGGGTTAAATCAGATTTATTTCATAATATTTATCAACTTCATCCACACCTCCGAATGTCTAAACATTATTGAGAATTTTTCCCGCACGTGAACTTGCACTGTATGTAAACCAACACAGCAGAGTTGAAGTGCCGAGTGCAAGTCTAGACACAATGTATAATTAAACGCCTTGCAGGCAATATGCTTACTAGTATAATTGAATGTTTATTGATACTACAGCAAAAGCAAAACCCGAGGAAGTAAAACTAAAGTCGAGCCGGTCGTTGAAACGTTGATGGAGTGTTTGGAAATCGAAAATTTCAAATTGAAATGTTTTGACTGATGCTCTGTACCTGTTAGTTTATAAAAAAATTAAAAAAAAACATAGTTACTTTTATTTACTTTTATAATTAGTTCACATACAGAGTAGATTATCCCTTGTCGACGAAGATGCAAGCAAGCTCAGCAAGAAAATAATGTCTTAATTACGAGCGCTGCATTTACCGATCATTAAACGTAATTAATCGTCATCGCCGTAATTGCGAAATTATTTAACCAGTTTGCATATAAATACTTCATAATCGTCAGCAGTGGCTTGGCGTATCGGTTGGTAGCAGAGCGCGTGCATGAGCTGGATATCAACGATTGGGCATTAAATCATCCACTGTCTCTACTTGCAAGGCAACTATACTGGGCAGACGATCAATTCTCTTTGCATTTTGTTTTGCTTCCTTTTTTAAAGTCAGGTTTGTATCATGATAGAAGGTAATTTTTTTATAGTGTTTATTTTTCTTGGGTATTTTCGTCATAATGACCATATTGCGTTTTAAGGTGCAAATTTATTTGCTTCTAAATGTGTTATTGTGTTTGTAAGGACATTTCTTTGGAATGCGTAGGGTGTCATTCTTGTCCTGACACCCTCTTGTTGTTAGAGTCAGTTATTTAAGTCTCAAGGGGATGCAAATTGCATTAATACACTTTATATTAAATTTATACAATTTTTTTTTCTTTTTTTTTTTAATTTCTTAAAGGATCCATCAAATAAAATGTTAATTTGAAGCAACTTTTAAAAAATTATGGTAGGTTTTAATGTAAAATTAGTTTATTTTATGAATGGACGATTAAAGATGCTATTAAAATGTTTATTTAATTAAATTTATTTAATGGAAACTTTAAGTTTAAAAATATTTCTGTAAGTTTTAGTAATTTATGATTTGTTTTACACAATACAAGTGGATGTGATAGTAAACAAAGTTGTAGTAGTCTCAGGTCAGTTTTATAGATTGCTTGATCGATTGAGATGCTTCTTGCCTATACCGAGCGCGGACGGTAATAAAGATGCTCGATGCTCGGAAGCGCCTGTGAAAATGAAACAACAAACCATTAGTTATTCAACGTTTTATATTTAGAATCCTGCCTACGAGTCTATTAATCATGTTTCATATGCTTCCATACACTATTACACATTTACTATTAGCATTCACATCTGATTGAAAGCCTTAGTACAATACAGAATTACAATCTTAAACAATATTTTGCTCTTCATGGAGTTTATTTGTCGGGTGGCATGTCAGGATTTTTTGTTGTTGGCGAAATCGTGTTACTATGGCGGTGCAGATATCGGTGCGGGGGTTAAAAGAGTAAGTTTCGCCCCGAAAATGGCAGATCCATCTTGCGTTTGACAGGGTGGTCGGGTAATCCATCAGTCGTCCCGTTGGTTCCTACCAATGTAGCCGTGCGCTTCGTCCGCACACGCAGTGTAGGAAAGAGTGTGCGAAACACTCCCCCCTATCCGAGGGATGCAGCTCACAGCACAGACGAAAACGTCCCTTTCGTGGGCCGACGTGCGAATTCTTCGTGTGCTACCTTCACCGGTGCCAACACCAGCAGCTAGTGAGCATCTACGAAGCGTCAAATGTTCATGTTTGCTAAACTTTGCCTGCATAAAAGCAGGTTTGCAGAAAAAGCTGTGCCCGCGCCCGCGACCCTCCTGTCAGGGTTAGTAGAACACGTCACTGAACCTATTATGTACCGATACAGAGCGCACGCCATTCAGTTCACACTTTCCACAGTGGATGCCAGGCTGCCATTCCGGTATCGCAGGAAGCGACAGGCATATGAGGAGAGAGAACTCGGATTTACCTAGATGTGAATGTGTGTGTGTGTATAGCTTTGAATTCTAGGCATATGTGAGCTATTGAAATGTCCTGATCAAATGGAAGTACACGTTGATGTTGGGTACTGATGCTTAATGGAAGTTTTGTGTTTGCAGGTCGCATTCAAATCGCATTTTTAACCAGTAATTAATCTGAAAACCATTAAAATCCTATTTTTTGTATACCTTAATCCAATTTTTTCATAATTACCTAATATGGATTTTTTAAATCCATTAACCCCGCAATGGACATGGCGTTCGATGATCGCCAGCTCGAACGTATGATTTATCGTACGGTGGACAATGTGAACCATTAAGAGGTTCAATAACGATGATTAAGCTACCTCTCCCTAGACGTACGCACGCACATATCGATGACCGAGGAAGCGAAGAACCGTGAACACATGGCATGCCCCAACATGGCTTCCATCCTCTTCCTTCAATGAAACCAGAACGTGTTGTTGCCCGAAAGCGGTGCATTTACGAATCCAACATCATATCCTTATCCAGACCGGTATCTGCGACGTATGTGTGCATTTCATACATTTTATTCAACAGAGGAGATGTTTTCCTGGTTCTTATCACGCGAATGCACTTCAGGAATCATTTATATTAATAACGTCGATATTCTGCAAGACCCTGAGTCTGAGTGCAATCAGAAGCACCAATGATCTGTTTACCAACACATCACATTAAATTACATTATGATCAATTTCTAGATTATCCCAGCCATGTGGTGTTGATCTAGTTATAGACTTTTTCAATTTTTACTTGGACAGCTTTCAGAATTATTAATACCTTTCATTTAGAACGTGTTGAATGTCTCATTCATGCCCGTCGGTGGTTAATGATATTTGGCTGGTCATTTCTTAGATGCTCCGATTTTCTTCGGCTTTTGTCTGGATGGAATGCGGAGTTGTAGAGTAAACTCACCCATTGATGCATACCTTGATGCCATCAGTATTGTTGCGTATGCTATGTGATCTCAAACATTGATTCCAACATTACTTAGCACGGTGGCTCACATCTTACATGCCGCACGCACATGCGGCGTATTGCGCATTGCGCGGATGGTTGTAATTAATGATCGTACGTACGATGTGAGATTAAGCACGACACTGTGACATTGTTCGAGTTGGATGCCGACGATATCAGATGAGGTTCAACAAGAAAAAAACAGCACGTTTACATTTAAATGCGTTTGATGTGGTATTGCTTGTAGTTTGATGGTAATATCTTCACGTTGACTTTGAAGCATCTGAACTGAACTGAACTGAAGTGAGTAAACTGTGTAAATGGAAAGCGATGGTCAAGTTTTGATTCTTTTGTATACTTATACGTAAAGAGGGGTGAAACGCAGCTGTAAAATTTATGTTTTGTGTAAATGGTGAAAGTTTACCACCAGAATTTTTTTTTGTAAATTTTCACGACAAAAATATAAATCTTTATGAATAAATTAATCTAGGTAAATATTTTTTATAAAACATTTCTTATGATCTAATGACTTGAATTATTGATGGTGTGATATGTACATGTTCAGTTTTTGATCGCGCGCTCATTGCAGATAGGCAAAAGTTAGCATGTGGTCATATGCCGCTCTTGAATTTCGTTCACCCGATAGTAATTAGCGTGCATATTCGCTGCGACATGCCCGGGATTGGTGTAGTCGTAGTCGTAACGGCATTGCTCGCCGCTAATTGCGCCGGGCGAATCTCCAATCTCGTCGAAATCGATCTGCATCGCGCCACCCGGCAGCACCGGCCCGCCCGCACCGAACTTGCCATCCTTCTTCGCCTTCATACGCCGGTTCTGGAACCAAATCTTGATTTGCCGCTCGGTTAGGCAGAGTGCGTGCGCGATCTCGATGCGACGCCGCCGCGTCAGGTATTTGTTGAAATGGAATTCCTTCTCGAGCTCGAGCGTCTGGAAGCGGGTGTACGTCTGGCGGGTGCGCTTGCTTCCAGCGCGACCCTCACCGTCCACAACAGCAGTCACCCCGATGTCTGAAACAATTCAAATTTTTTTTCCTCTTTAGTTCAAGCACTCGAAGATCATTTGGGGAATTTGCATAGAAAAATGATTTGCTCAAATTGTTTTCGATAGATTTTTCCTGGTTGGAATCGAAAACGGGGTAATTTACTGGAAGAACTTACCGTTTGAATTGGGTGCCTTCATCCAAGGGTAATAGTTGTTCGGCAATTCGGGGCTGCCTTGCGGCACGTCGATGTCGTTTGACTCTGTGCGTCCGTATGCAGCGCTGTAGGGGTAAACTATTTTCTTGTCCTTTGGTGTGTTCAACAAGGCTCTCAACGCTGGTGAATCATTCGAAATTGATGGTGACTTGGGCGAGGTAGATGACGATTTCGGCGATGCTGCAATGTTGTTGTTGGACGATAGATCATTAGCGCTCGGGCTCGAACGCGACGAATTGTTATAAATCGTTTGTCGACAAGTGTCATAGGTGTTTAGGTAGGTTTCCGGTTTTAATTCACAGCCTCCACCCGTCTTCGTTGTCAGCGGTTGCTGCGGTGCGGATTGACGCGTTCGCTCGTCAGCGTCTTGCCGACAGTAGTTCTCACCGTCCTTCGTATTCTTGGCATTCGCGTACAAATCGTACTCGTACCCGAAACTTTTGTAATATTCCTGCTGTTGCGCATGTGTGTGTTGTTGCTGTTGTTGTTGGTCGTGATGTGTGGGTGTTGAGTATGTGCTTCCATAGAGTTCGCAGGATGTAGGGAACGGGTTGCTGTTGGTGTTGCCGTAGTGTTGGTAATTATAAAACTCGTTGTGTTCCTGCCGATTGCTGTCAATCAACTGATTGTTTCGAAACGATTGATAGAACGGCTGATTGGCAGCGCTCCAGTAATCGGTCGTGCTCTCCGCCACGCTCATGTCGTACACAGCGACAGCACTCGGCGAAACAAAAACCGCACAAAAAAGTCACGACGAACACAGAAAATCACTGCGAACTGTGGTTGAATGCACGAGCGTCGAAAACGTTCGAAACACTGACAGCACAATACGCCAATGCACACTGAATCTTTGAATTGATTGAATCGACTGAATTTTGGCACCCCCGGTCGTGGGGTATAGACTTGGTCAGACGCCCGATTGCGAATGCGGCACGATTTCGGCACGTTCCATCTCGCAGTCGGCGTATCGATAAATGTTAAATATTGTCAACCTTATTTTCCCCCAAAAAGTCAGTGCCTCGTAAAAGGCTGTAAAACTTCCATACAGTGCCATAATATGCAGTATTATTTAGTGCTTGGGTGCCGCGCGAGCGGGACAATCGTCCGTGTGTTGGAGGGGTGCACATGATTGCACCCCCGGTCTAGGCTACGGGGTACAAACGCTGGCCCCGTTTTTCTTTTATTTGCGTCCAGCTGCAATACCACCCCCACCTTAGCGTCAAACACCCTCAAAATCTGCAGTTCCGTGTACCGTTCATCTTATTTATTGCGGCCCCCAATATCGATACCCCTAATTCTATAGATATAACAATGTGTCTTGCGCCCGAATTTAAACGCACGCATGGCTTCAATCCCATTTTGATAAATGTGAAAATTGGCTACCCTTTAGCAAATATTTGATCATTTTACTACATTTTTTGGAACAAACAATATCTCAGTCTGACCTTCACATGTTTTGCACGCTTTGGAAATATAGGTCAGCGGAACGAAACGAAACTGAATTTAAGAAAAAAAAACGGAAAGTTTCTCAATGCACATTCTAAGAAGTCAACGTTCCCTTTTTATGGTACATTGTTACATTTATAGTGCCTTCAATTATCACACAAAAACATTTAGGATAAATATTTTGCTTTTAGTGTTACAACTTTTAGTTTCATGCCCACGCTTACGCCATGCGCATCTTCAATACTTTTATGATCCATACATTTGCATTAGTCAAATATCTTCAAAAGTAGTAAAGACGCACCGCTGTCCAGCAATAAACCTTCAAATCACAACACAAAAACATAATTTACAACCGTTTGACTTTTCAATCATGACAAATTCACAACAAACGTAAATATTTACAATTAAATCTTGTCTCCAAGAAAAATGGCACGTAATCTTGTTTATAAATAATTGACTGGGGCGTATCTCGCACTACATGTTAGTAATTGCATGTGAAATATGATATACTAGATGAAAGGTAACGCAGTAACAAGTTGTAGGCTTCGCGCGCGTATAAATTACAGCGCAGTGCTTAAATTCAGATAAACGAAATTATGCCCGCGATGGAGGCGAATTATAATGCATAGAGTGCTAATTTAACGCACACTCGTGGTGCTGAATGAGCGCGTGCAGTTACGATTTCACACGCGAGCGCTATTTTTACTGCACGGAATTGCCGCCCGCCAGAAGTGAGGGTTTTATGACGGTTTCGTTTCGGTTTCATAAACACTCCTAGCAGCACGCCAGTCGTACGACCCCATGATCTACCCCAACATTTGATATATCTCAATACTGTTATAAATATACAGAGTGTACCCAAAAACTTGACTCAGAAAAATAAATTTTTTGATAAAATTTTTAAAAATTTACAAAATTTTACAAATTTTAAAGGAAAAACAGTAAAAAAATAAATTTTATGATATTTTACTAATTTGAAGGTTTAGTATATTTTGTTTGGTGTCCCAAAAATGCCAGATGGATTCATTTGTGAATTGCTTGCACCCCTCGCGTGCAAAATCAACGAATCTACGTAAAACCCAAATTCTAACTCTGCCCACTGATATCACACATGAAATGCACACTTGTACGCACACATCTATCAGATATCGCGTATAATACAATAGCAAACACTATTAACATTCACTATTCAATGCGGCTGATGACCATTTTTCATCCGCCTGACTTCCGAATCCCGACCCTGGCGAGCAATACTCTTCATATTCATTAGTGATCAGGCTATCACGCAGACCAGACCACTGGAAATCAATCAATCAAAACTAAAAGTATTTATGTGATAATATTTTAATACATATCTAACGGTGAAAATAAAAATAAAATTCATTTGTTGATCAATTTGTGTCAAAAATTATCACCCGGCTGAAATCTGACGTCGTGAATCTCAAAGTTGAACTGAAAATTATCTGATTGAGTTTCAATAAGCATATTGTCTTATTGTTTCAAAAGGGTGGCGAAATATGCCTGGCATGGTGGTCCCCTCTTCAAACCGTCAACCGTTCGGCATAACTGTAGATCTTGTGCGTGCATACTTGGGCTGTTTATCTGTGGAGTTGTCTCAACATCTTCTTGTCTTGACATTCATCGGACGAGTTCTACATAACGTACCACAACTTTAGAATGCGCTTGTCTTTTGTGTCATCAGCAGGATATTCATGTGCCGTATTTAAAATGTATAATAAAATGGTGGACAGTGGATTAGTAGGTAGATACCGACTAATCCAAAATGGTTCTTAACGCACCCGATTGGGATTCGTGCGGATGGGGTAAAAGTTGCAAGTAATCCTCATCCCTCGCGCGGTGGTGTGCAGAATGCAGATCGGTCATGTCTATGAGACCATGAGTGACGCTGTCAGGGAAGTGGCGCGGGGAGCGGGCGGTGTTTTGCGGATGGAAACGGAAAACCGCGCCGCGGAGGGTTCGCTTCGGCCATACCTCCTGTCAGTCAACGTGTCAACATTGAAATTTCCGAACGCCGACATTTTCCAACTATGATATGCCAACAACGTGGTTCACTCGCCATGATGATTGGCACTTTGTATTTTTACAACGTGAAATGATTCAATTACAACAATAACACACGTCCCTTAAGATGTTGGAGTATTAGTTCTGCTTGTGTGGGAACAATAGTAGTTAATGAACTAGGATTTTGATTGATTTCGAAGACAACCTCGGGTAAGAACTTTGTGTTGTCAGCTTCCGTTCAAGGAATCATCTTTGATATAAATCAAAACATATTTTTTTACTTTTAAGGGTTTAAACTTAAAATATTATTAATTAAAAAATTCTCGCGTTGAGTTGAACACCGAAGACTGAAACTCTTATTGGAAATTCCCTCGAAGTGCAAAGTGGGCGCACGCAAGGAGCACGAGAAGTTTTCTATAAAAGCACTCGCCGAACAACACTCCGGTATGCGTTCGTTTGACGGGGCCCTGGCTCGTTCCGCGCGCCGTCGTTCGACGGGCACCCCGACCCGGTCTACTCTTCTTTTCACAATTTGGCATTCGTACGAAATACGATTCATCAACGTCAAACGGGCGTTCGGCTGCCGCTCCGCACGCAGCACCGGGTTGTTTTCACTCGAAATAAGCGAACGCTTCGCAAACTCGACGCAAAAATGCAAACTTCCACTACTCAGGACCCAGGATGAAGTCCCAAGCAGGGTAGACCTTGAAACCATTAACGCAGTGAATTTTTTTGGTAGTTTTTGGGTAGCATATGATAAAATTATGATATCAGAGTGTGGTTTAGATTAGGGGTAGTTTCCGTTTTGCACCATGCTAGTTTTTTCTTTTTTCATATTCCACATTTGCGTTTATTGTGTGCTGCATAGTTTTGTGTGATAAGTTTACTCGTAGGGTGTGCGGCATTTGCGTGCTGTGGGGGCGCTCTCCCTCTTCGCGCGCAACAACCCCGACAACCGACAACATCCCCAATGCTTGTCGGCTATATGGATGGACGATTTTTGTCATTTATTATTGGGCCTCGTTTACAATTGATTTTCTCCCACATTCGACACTGTTCTTTGCATAATGCATATAATGCACATTTTTTGCAACTATTCTTCTATTATTTACTTAATTTTTTAACCACTATAGTCAGCGTCATTAAAATATGTCATTACCTTCACTTTCAATTTAAAATGTTTAGCGTTGATTATGACCTCAAATTAGTAGTAAACACTAACTTTCTTAATTTCTCCAGACGTTTGAAAAACTATTTACAACAAGTTCAATCATTAATCATCGTTTCCATTTCGTCATTTTGACGCGGCCAGACGTGTTGAAAATGTTTGAAAATAGAGACAAAAAAAAACACGGTGAAGGAAAACACAAGAAATTTTAGAGTTTCGAGTTAAATTTGAAATTGGAAAGAATTTCACTTCGAGTTGAGTCTGAGTTGAGGCTGACTGACAGACAGTTTTCGCATTTTGCGCGTTTTCATGTTGCTGCACGCGCGTCAAGTCGCTTTTCCTAACCGTTTAACTGTTTCGCCCGTCGGTGGTTCTGTTCTCATTTCTTGTTTTGCGCATACGTTTATACGTTTACTCCACCCAAGAGTTGGAACGCCAACATTCTTGTTCCAGAGTATGTTCTTGAACTTTTTGACAGCACTGCAAAATACAACCTTCAAATGCTCAATTGTATTTAAACTCTTAAATTGTCGATTATGGTATTTTTAATTTTTTGTGCTTTTGTAATTACTTAGTATCTGCAGACATGATTGTTTTTAAAGAAAATCTTCTTGGTTTTTTGTTATTCTGTTTATTTTAGCGTAGTTTTATGCAAAGTTCTTGGACTTCTTTGCACGTTTTCAGTCGCACCTCTAGCCCCATTATACCTTCGGACATTGTGTGCGCGTGTCTCGTGTTCAGTGATTAATTGTTCTCTCGCCAGCGAGCACCTGCTCGCATAACGTCGACGTCTTTTGAATGATAATCGCGAATATAAGGCGCACTTAAGTAACGCGCACAACGTGCTTGTGCAAAATTATTTAACATTAAATGATTCAACTATATGCATCTTTAAAAGTATCACAAAATTCGCCATAAAAATAAAAATACACGAATGGCAAAAGGCTGAAATTTTTCAAATGACAAATCGTATGGGAAATAGGCATTAGCGAGTATTAGGTAATAACTTAATGGGCAATTTGCGTGACCGGAAATTTGCATTTACCATTTTATCCGATGGCGCG